CGTAAAGCTTTTGATACAGTTAACCATGACTTGCTCCACGTAAAATTGTCACACTATGGTATAAGAGGGCACTCCCTCAACTACCTCAAGTCATACCTCAGCAACAGAAGCCAATATGTGTACGCAAATGGGGCAAACTCTTCTGCACAACCAATTACAGTTGGTGTCCCACAGGGAAGTGTCCTTGGCCCTCTTCTCTTTCTCCTATACATAAATGACCTACCAAATGCTTCGCAATTACTCAAACCCACACTATTTGCAGATGGACACTACATACGTCTTCTCCCACCGAGCCCAGTCACGCTAGCCAATACTGTAAATACCGAATTACAGAAAAATATCTACCTGGATGAGGACTAACAAACTTACACTAAACATTGACAAAACCTACTTCATTCAGTTTGGTAACAGAGCTACAGATGTCCCTCTTAACATAATGATAAACGGATCACCTATCACAAAGCTAACAGAGGGAAAATTCTTAGGAATCCACCTTGATAATAGACTCAAATTTCATACACATATACAACAAATTTCTAAAAAAAATTCCAAGACTGTAGGCATACTATCGAAGATACGGTACTATGCTCCACAGTCAGCCCTCCTGGCCCTATATCACTCACTTATTTACCCCTATCTCACCTATGGAATTTGTGCATGGGGCTCAACAACAATTAACCATCTCAGACCACTAATTACCCAACAAAAGGCTGCAGTTAGAATGATAACAAATTCTCACTACAGGCAGCACACTCCACCAATATTCAATACACTAAACCTACTCACCATACAAAACATCCATACTTATTACTGCACCTATTACATACATAGAACACTTAACTCTGATATTAACCCTCCCCTCAAACATCTCCTTGCCAACCTCAACAGAACACATGACCATAACACAAGGCACAGATCACTCTTTGATGTTCCTCGTGTCCATCTCACACTATGCAAAAACTCAATGCACATAAAAGGCCCTAAAATCTGGAATTCATTACCTGTAAATATAAAAGAAACACTACCTGTTTATAAATTCAAGTCTCTTCTCAAGATCACTTACTCACCCAAAACCAAATAAATACTGAATAACTCAACCTTATAAATTGTATATCTTAAATGTTTCTCACAATTATATCACATAAATGTTAAACCTAAAACTCAATCTAACTTTACTATTTTTTTAAATACACTACCTAACAGAATACTCCATACGACTGAATGTACAACAATGCATGCAACCATATGACCTGTCTTTGTAATACTCACTTGTACTTTATAGTAATCTGTTTACATTAATGTTTTATCACTGATTTCATCATTGCTTAGTTAATCTTAAGTTAATTTTAAGCCAGCCCGTAATGCTATGCATAGTGTAAGTGGCTTTGGCATGCTGCTCTTATCTGTATTTTTTTTTTGTACCTCTGTATGTGTGCTCAAATTGTAATAAATAAATAAATAAATAAATAAATAAATAATATGCAATAATACACTGGTCATCACACTCGGTGTTTGGTACATTCACTGATACCTCTATGGTTACAAAATTCTTTGGCAGAAGCTAGCCTGTAGTTACCTAAATAAGGTACCTTCAATATTTTCGATAAACCGCTTGGGAATTTAATGCGATTTTCATGTTGAGATTTGTTACACATCTGTCAGCAAGGCAAAACTAACAATGTACTGGTAGTGAATCGGTGATAACGTTATAATGCAAGTCACGACTAATGGTCTTGCCAGCGAAAGGCTTATACTTACTGCATGTTTCAGTTGCACCATCTTCTTGGTGAGAGGAAAACACATTAGCATACACGACCAAATATTTGCACCTTTTGAAAGGAAATTGAGAATTATTATAGGTAAGACATATACCGGCGATTTGCATTTTTCTTTACAGATTCAACTTTTGTTTTATAGGTACATGTGGATAACAGTTTATCGTGCACAGTAACAAGGGTCAAAATGACTAGGCTCGGTCCAAGACCGAGCCTAGTCAACCTGAACAATCACGCTGTTGGTGCCTGCAGCACGCAGGTCAACACAATCACCACAGCCAGGCTGATCAGGAATGATTTGAGGATATTAAACCCAAAACTGGAAGGTGTTATACAGAGTCTGAATATAAAAAGAATCTATTTTTTTCCTTATTTATGAGTCAAATTTCCCTTTCTTAATTTGATTGATGAGGCCAGTTAAAATCTATAACTTTTTTATTTCCGCTTTCAGGACAGGTATGTTGGCTGATAAATTAGACACATGTGACAAATTAGACAAATGTGATAAATTAGACACGTGATAAATTAGGCACATGTGGTAAATTAGACACATGTGATAAACTGGACACATGTATGACACGTATCTTTATTGCTGAAATGTCTCGCCTACATAGTAGGCTTCTTCAGTCAAATAAAGATATGTAATTATGGAGACAGCAGAAAAAGTGGCGAGCGAAAGATGCTGTGGTAAGTCCGTCCAGCATAAAGTAGTGGTTTCCAAGACGGTCAGTCCCTCAGCCTGGATAATAGTTCAGGTTAAAAATGTGGAATAATGTGCAGTTGACTAATTAGACACATGTGTAAGACTTGGGTATTTTTATTGAGGAAACGTTTCGCCACACAGTGGCTTCATCAGTCCATACAAAGAAGAATGGTGAAGATCAGAAGGAGTTTGAGATTCTGATTACTTCAAGTTTGAGATAATGATTACCTCAAGTTTTGAGGTACTGGTTACCTCAAATGCCTTCTGATCTTCACCATTCTTCTTTGTATAGACTGATGAAGCCACTGTGTGGCGAAACGTTTCCTTAACAAAGATACCCAAGTGTTGCACATGTGTCTAATTTATCAACGTGTCGGTTCTCTGAACCATTCATCTACAATGTGAAGTTGAAATGACTCACGAAATCGTAATGACACGATTGCAAACAAACCATACCATGGGTGGGGTTAGAACCCGCGATCAGAGAGTCAAAAAACTCCAGACTAACGCGTTTGAAGTTGAAACATGAGAAAGGAGTCTTATATCTTGCCGAAGATGAGAAGCAGAGTATCTCGAAGACGTCGGAGGAGGAGGTAGCCACTAGTGGAAGCAAGACCTGGGGAACACTGCAGCAAGACTAAGTGGTCCATGCTAGGCAGTCCTCAAATCCAGCTCTTCTCACTCCTAACTTGCTTTTAAGCAATAGGTTGTGGAAAATATCCTCTGTACCAAGATACCGTTGTGCTGCTGTGTCAGACAAGTATTATACCGACAAGTTGATTGAGAGATTGATACACGCGTGCACCAGTTAGCGTTGTTGTTGAAATTAGTCTACACATTAGGCTTCAGTTAAATACAGAGGTGACGATATAGAGAGACAAAAGAATCAGTAGCGAGGTAAGGATGATGTGATTAGTCCAGCTGTCAGTCCACTTGTCACCTGGTGAGGTTCTAACATCAGTCTCCTACGTATTTTGTAAGGATATTTTAATATCACCTGTAACCTAAGTACATTGTATAAGGTAACAATACAACTTGTGACCCTGATGTATTGTAAGGTGATGCCAACACCTCCTGTCACCTTAAAACCTTGTAAAGTGATACAATGTATGTAAGAGATTCACGTAAGAACATTGTGTAAAACTCTCATGTTCTCACTGCTCAATTGTCTTAAAATCAATCTCTCTCTCTCTCTCTCTCTCTCTCTCTCTCTCTATATATATATATATATATATTATATATATATATTATATATATATTATATATATATATATATTTTTCTGTCTCATGAACATGCAAGATTTCAGGTACGTCTTGCTACTTCTACTTACACTTAGGTCACACTACACATACATGTACAAGCACATATATACACACCCCTCTGGGTTTTCTTCTATTTTTCTTTCTAGTTCTTATTCTTGTTTATTTCCTCTTATCTCCATGGGAAGTGGAACAGAATTCTTCCTCCGTAAGCCATGGTGTTGTAAGAGGCGACTAAAATGCCGGGAGCAAGGGGCTAGTAACCTCTTCTCCTGTATATATTACTAAATGTAAAAGGAGAAACTTTTGTTTTTCCTTTTGGGCCACCCCACCTCAGTGGGATACGGCCGTGTGTGTTGAAAGAAAGAATATATATATATATATATATATATATATATATATATATATATATATATATGTCGTGCCGAATAGGCAGAATTTGCGATCTTGGCTTAAATAGCAACGCTCATCTTGCCATATAGGACAAGCGAAAATTTGTGTATGCAATAATTTCTCCAAAATCATTCTAAACCTAACGAAAAAATATATATTTTACTGTGTTTGTTTAGTATTAAATTACTGTAAACAAATCTAAAATATTCTTAGTTGGGTTAGGCTAAAATAAATTATTCTTGTTATAATAAGGTTAGGTAAGTTTTCTAAGATTCTTTTGGAGCAAAATTAAAAATTTTAACATTAACATTAATGAAAAAAATATATCTTTAAACGTATAAGAGCAAATTTCAGAAAGGACTTAATTTTAAATGAGTTCTTGCTAATTGACCAGTTTTACATATTCGGCACGACATATATATATATATACAGTGGACCCCCGCATAACGATTACCTCCGAATGCGACCAATTATGTAAGTGTATTTATGTAAGTGCGTTTGTACGTGTATGTTTGGGGGTCTGAAATGGACTAATCTACTTCACAATATTTCTTATGGGAACAAATTCGGTCAGTACTGGCACCTGATCATACTTCTGGAGTGAAAAAATATCGTTAACCGGGGGTCCACCGTATTCTTAAAAGGCTAAAATCGATATTTTCTGATCAGCTTTTATCCGTTATTAAATCATGACATTAATTACCATCTATAGCTTAGTTTTTACCAAGTGAAAACATTCCTCCCAGGAGACTCGTCCGAGGTCTTACACAAGTCTTCCACCTGATTCGTTTGTCGTGTCCTTCACTTTCTTGGTGGTGATGGTATCGCTGGGTATATAAGCGTCGACTCACGAGGGAAGCGCCACTCACTCGCCTCTCTCATGCCAACATGAGCCTGGTAAGCTCATAACTTGACTTTCAGACTTTCGTAATATGTCAATATATCTAAAGAGGATGTTAGAATATCTGTTGCTTAATTGTCTTTACACAATATTTTTGTTATCAATGTTCTTTACTTAGAAAGTGTATCTTCCAATGATTTTTTTGTCAAACATCTCGTGCTTTTGTAGTCTATACACTGTCTGTTATCAATGTTTCTTGCTTATTATATATCCTTGCTTAGGAGGAGCATCTTTCAATATTTTTTTTCATAATATAACTTTCTATATAGATTTCATATGCTCGTAAATGAAAGAACAATCCTTGTGAAAAATGGATCTCGTGGAAGCTGGTGGATAGCATACGAGTCAGGTGTTCCTTTTTTTCTGCTTAGAGCTGATAGTTATTCTCTGGGCTCTTGGAACGACAAAAAAAAAATCTTTACGAAATGTATGTATAATACCGCTTTAAAAGATTTATAAAGGACTCTTGTTAACCGTTTTCGAAAACAGCTACTACAAATAAGATCCACATAAGGCATTTTGACATTCTTAAATGCATTTTAGAACTCAGACAATCCTCTAGTTCTCTTTGTCTTAGAGTTAGTTTATAAGTGCTTCAGAATGTAATACTGTATATATTTGGTTCTCCTACAGAAGGTGGTATTGTGCACTCTGGCGGCTGTTGTCGGGGCCGCTGAACTCCCGTCCGCATCTTACTCCTACGACGCACCCAGCCAAGGTGGAGGAGGGTCACCAGGTACAGGCTTCGGAGGTTCAGCAGGCACAAGATTCGGAGGTTCACCCGGTGCAGGCTTCGGAACCTCGGCTGGAACAGGCTTGGAAGGCTCAGCTAGTACAGGCGTAGGAAGCTTGGCTGGTACAGGCTCTAGAGGTGCACCTGGCACAGGTTCTAGAGGTGCACCTGGCACAGGCTCTAGAGGTGCACCTAGCACTGGCTTTGGAAGTTCAGCTGGTACAAGCTTCGGAGGTTCAGATGGTACAGGCTACGTTGGTTCTGCTGGAACAAGAGCCAGAGGAACAACTGGCACAGGCATCGGGAGTTCAGCTGGCACAGGTGTCAGAGGTTTAACTGGTGCAGGCTTTGGAGGTTTAGCCGGCTCAGGAATCGGAGGTGCACCTGCTACTGGCTTCGGAGGTTCAGCTGGTACAGGCTTCGGAGGTTCAGCTGGTGGAGGCTTTGGAAGCTCTGCTGGTGCAGGCTTCGGAGGTTCAGCTGGTGGAGGCTTTGGAAGCTCTGCTGGTGCAGGCATTAGAGGTTCAGCTGGTGGAGGCTTTGGAAGTTCTGCTGGTGGAGGCTTTGGAAGTTCTGCTGGTGCAGGCTTTGGTGGAGCTGGTAGTGGAAGCTCTCCTAGTGGAAGTTACAGCCCTTCAGGTCCTGTAGTCCCCATCTTAACTGACGAACGTCAGGGACCTGATCAAGCCGGCAACTATAACTTCAACTTCGAGACTGGTGATGGCATCAGTCGTCAGGAGCAGGGCGCCCCCCAGGGCCCAACCGGCGCTGTAGCAGCTCAGGGAGGATGGTCGTAAGTAATCACTAGATTGCTGAAGAATGGTAAATGTATATTTTTGTTTTATAGAATGACACAAGTAGACACAAAAACATTTATAATACCGAATCTAATAACAGTATCGTGTGTTTCAGATTTACTTTCCCCGATGGAACTCCCGCTGTTTTCAGCTTCGTAGCAGATGAAGGTGGTTATCGTGTGGAATCTGACCTGGTGCCCACGCCCCATCCTCTTCCCGCCCACGCTCTCGCCCAGATCGAGAAGGCTCGTCAGGAAGACGCTGCTGCAGCTGCTGCAGGTGGACGTGGATCATACGATGCCTCAGGTTCTGCGTCTCAGTTTACTGGAGCACCTTCTGGAGGCTTCGGTGGTTCACCTGCTGGTGGCTTTGGTGGTTCACCTGCTGGTGGCTTCGGTGGTTCACCTGCTGGTGGCTTTGGTGGTTCACCTGCTGGTGGCTTTGGAGGTTCCACTGGAACAGAATTTGGAAGTCCAACTGGTAGCTTCGGAAGTTCTACTGGAGGCTCTATCGGTGGAGGTTTCAGCAGAGCACCTGGTGGAGGCTTAACTGCTGGAGCCTCTGCTGTAGCTCCCAGCAGGGTCTACGGCGCTCCATGAGCATCACTTGTACTGATTTCCTAGTCCTACTTCTGTCATGTCAGCTGAACCTCAGGTCATCACACGGGATCCATTTAACTGACGTGACGTGGTCTATACGCTTATTACTTTTACTGTTAATTATATGGTCATAATAAAATACATTTAAATTTCTTTTAATTTTATATACAAACCTTCTTGGGGGCTCATGATATTGGTAAATAACCGTCGTTCCAATGTATTGGAGTTATTCTCGCCCTCTCTTTAAACCAGATTTCCTTCAATTTTCCAGGTGCTGCATGACCATTACAGGTTAAGTGGTTCGATTTACTCTCGCCGTCACTTTAAACCAGATTTTCTTCAGTTTTCCAGGTGCTGCCATTACAGGTTAAGTGGTTCCCTTTGGTTATGATAATTTAATAAAAAACAGAAGATTAAAATATTAATAAGGAGGTTAGGTAAGGGGTGTCAGGAAACAGGACAAGTGTTTCCTGACGCAGGTCTTAGTCAGGTGACCCGAATAAGGAATTCGATGAGTATGACATATCACAGGAATGAAGAGAAAATTACGTAATGCAAATATTAAAGATTTTTTTTACCAGAATGAGTGTAAATACCCTCACATCAGTCTTCAACATTTTAAGTGACTTACCCGTGTAAGTGTACTAAGCTGTAATCATGGAGCTGGTGTGACGGGGATTGGGTAATAGCAGTGAACTCGATTGTGATTGAATTCACTAGTCTCGTAGGCCTCATTATTCCTACTCTTATTGCTGTGTATGGTCTCTCTTTTTTGACTTCCATGATTCTGAATATTTTTTTTTTAATATTCCTTTATCTCATTTGTTCCTGTAAACAAAAATTCTATTTCTCCTGTGTATGGTACAGAGATGATAATTCCCAAGTAATGGTAACTCCGCTCTGCTGGAAGGAAACCTTTGACGCTGCCCAACTGAAGTGTCCCAGCTCAGACTGACACTACTGAAGTGTCCCAGCTCAGACTGACACTACTGAAGTGTCCCAGCTCAGACTGACACTACTGAAGTGTCCCAGCTCAGACTGACACTACTGAAGTCTCCCAGCTCAGACTGACACTACTGAAGTCTCCCAGCTCAGACTGACACTACTGAAGTCTCCCAGCTCAGACTGACACTACTGAAGTCTCCCAGCTCAGATTGACACTACTGAAGTTTCCCAGCTCAGACTGACACTACTGAAGTTTCCCAGCTCAGACTGACACTACTGAAGTCTCCCAGCTCAGACTGACACTACTGAAGTCTCCCAGCTCAGACTGACACTACTGAAGTCTCCCAGCTCAGACTGACACTACTGAAGTCTCCCAGCTCAGGTTGACACTACTGAAGTCTCCCAGCTCAGGCTGACATTACTGAAGTGTCCCAGCTCAGACTGACACTACTGAAGTCTCCCAGCTCAGACTGACACTACTGAAGTCTCCCAGCTCAGACTGACACTACTGAAGTCTCCCAGCTCAGACTGACACTACTGAAGTCTCCCAGCTCAGACTGACACTACTGAAGTTTCCCAGCTCAGACTGACACTACTGAAGTTTCCCAGCTCAGACTGACACTACTGAAGTCTCCCAGCTCAGACTGACACTACTGAAGTCTCCCAGCTCAGACTGACACTACTGAAGTCTCCCAGCTCAGACTGACACTACTGAAGTCTCCCAGCTCAGGTTGACACTACTGAAGTCTCCCAGCTCAGGCTGACATTACTGAAGTCTCCCAGCTCAGACTGACATTACTGAAGTCTCCCAGCTCAGATGACACTACTGAAGTCTCCCAGCTCAGACTGACACTACTGAAGTCTCCCAGCTCAGGCTAACACTACTGAAGTCTCCCAGCTCAGGCTAACACTACTGAAGTCTCCCAGCTCAGGCTGACATTATTGAAGTCTCCCAGCTCAGGCTGACATTATTGAAGTCTCCCAGCTCAGACTGACACTACTGAAGTCTCCCAGCTCAGACTGACACTACTGAAGTCTCCCAGCTCAGGCTGACACTACTGAAGTCTCCCAGCTCAGGCTGACACTACTGAAGTCTCCCAGCTCAGACTTACACTACTGAAGTCTCCCAGCTCAGACTTACACTACTGAAGTCTCCCAGCTCAGACTGACACTACTGAAGTCTCCCAGCTCAGACTGACACTACTGAAGTCTCCCAGCTCAGACTGACACTACTGAAGTCTCCCAGCTCAGACTGACACTACTGAAGTCTCCCAGCTCAGGCTGACACTACTGAAGTCTCCCAGCTCAGACTGACACTAATGAAGTCTCCCAGCTCAGACTGACACTACTGAAGTCTCCCAGCTCAGACTGACACTACTGAAGTCTCCCAGCTCAGACTGACACTACTGAAGTCTCCCAGCTCAGGCTAACACTACTGAAGTCTCCCAGCTCAGGCTAACACTACTGAAGTCTCCCAGCTCAGGCTGACATTATTGAAGTCTCCCAGCTCAGGCTGACATTATTGAAGTCTCCCAGCTCAGATTGACACTACTGAAGTCTCCCAGCTCAGACTGACACTACTGAAGTCTCCCAGCTCAGGTTGACACTACTGAAGTCTCCCAGCTCAGGCTGACATTACTGAAGTCTCCCAGCTCAGACTTACACTACTGAAGTCTCCCAGCTCAGACTTACACTACTGAAGTCTCCCAGCTCAGACTGACACTACTGAAGTCTCCCAGCTCAGACTGACACTACTGAAGTCTCCCAGCTCAGACTGACACTACTGAAGTCTCCCAGCTCAGACTGACACTACTGAAGTCTCCCAGCTCAGGCTGACACTACTGAAGTCTCCCAGCTCAGACTGACACTAATGAAGTCTCCCAGCTCAGACTGACACTACTGAAGTCTCCCAGCTCAGACTGACACTACTGAAGTCTCCCAGCTCAGACTGACACTACTGAAGTCTCCCAGCTCAGACTGACACTACTGAAGTCTCCCAGCTCAGACTGACACTACTGAAGTTCTCCCAGCTCAGACTGACACTACTGAAGTCTCCCAGCTCAGACTGACACTACTGAAGTCTCCCAGCTCATACTGACATTACTGAAGTCTCCCAGCTCAGACTGACACTACTGAAGTCTCCCAGCTCAGACTGACACTACTGAAGTCTCCCAGCTCAGACTGACACTACTGAAGTCTCCCAACTCAGAATGACACTACTGAAGTCTCCCAGCTCAGAGTGACACTACTGAAGTCTCCCAGCTCAGACTGACACTACTGAAGTCTCCCAGCTCAGACTGACACTACTGAAGTCTCCCAGCTCAGACTGACAGTACTGAAGTCTCCCAGCTCAGACTGACACTACTGAAGTCTCCCAGCTCAGACTGACACTACTGAAGTCTCCCAGCTCAGGCTGACAGATTTCAACACCTTGTATGAGCACCATCCTGCATTTAATTATATAAAAAAGAGTAGCGGCACGTTGCTAATGTGTCCAATTTTACCAATAAATTTACTAATAAATGGATAATAAATGCAAATCTCACGTTTGCCGAAGGTAATTAACTGATGTGTTGCTCACAGCAATGAACTCAAAACCATATTCAATCTTATGTTCTTTCTTTTGTGAGGCGTCGCAGCCTATGTCAGCCCCATTGTGTACTCTCTTTACAGTTACTTTCTAATGTCCCAGTTTTCTTATCCTTGCATTTTTCAGGCATTAAGCTCCAGCAATCACTAGTTTTTTTTTTTACCTTTCGGTTACCAATGTTCCTCAGTATCCAGACGAGTTTGTTTTTACTTCCATGTATATATAAGTGGCTCACAATATCGTAGTAACACGAGTGTAAACAAATCACGAAACTGGGCTGTGTTTGAACCCACGGCAAGCGAGTTGTCACTGACCTGTGGGTTTTAAGATTCACTTCCATGGGTTAAATTTCCGCCCGTTCCCTGATGTGTTTATCTAAGGTCTATATAATGCTCAAGATAGTGAGTCTAATGTTGTCTTGTGGTTAAGCGTGTCGGAGTGACTGGAGATCAGGTAAAGAATCCGTGTAAAGAACAACACGCTGCTTGTCCCATTGTTATTCATTAGTTCCTGCTTATACATTAGTTCCTGCTTGCTGGATTGTCACTAACTCGGCTTGTAGTGTTGAACAGTGGCCAGGGAGTCTCCGTGGCCTGGACTGCCATCGTGGTGGACTCCAGCTTCTGCAATTTTATCCGGATCCATTACTTCATCAATGCAGTGCACTGTTGGGACCTTCAGTACAGACCATGACTGATTCCTTGTTGCGTACTAAGGTGTCTGTAAGTCATAAATATTTGCTGACTGGGGCACTCAACACAATTTCTGCTGATACCGGCTACCATGTTGGTGTAAGTGCCTTCCTCCACCAGTTGTCGTCTAGGTTATAGCCTCGTCAGTGTTAAGTACAAACATCTGACAGAGCCGAGGAAATCCTTTACTTGGCCAGAGACTTTCTCAGTCGATGAAACATTACTTCCACGATACAGCAGTTTTAATATGTAACTTTTTTTGTACGAACCCAGGTGGGAACTTTTAGGATGTGTTGACAGTTTTATGTATTAAAGTTAGCACTCAAATAATCTATCACAAACTACACTTGACACTGTCAAGTGGTTTTAAGATTATTTTTCGTCTGCCTGGAATACTCTAAACAACCAGTTTCTTTCGAAATGTACGACAAAAAACTGACACCTAATTTTGTAACAGTGATGTATATTTAAATTTTTTTTCATCTGTCAGCTTGTATAATACCTCAAACAGATGAACCATTTTCCTGAAATCTGTTACAACACATACTGTCAGGCACACCATTTAAAAGTCACAAGAAGGTACAGATCGCACCGACCTTGGGAAAGAAACCAGAGTAGTAACCACTCCAGAGAAAGAATTTTTTTTTAGTGCCAGGAAGAAAAATAAACTGGCAGAAAATTACAGAAATACTACACCACTTTGGATCACTACTGGAGTAGAGGGTCAGTGGCCCTCACTAGAGAACAACAGACATTAGTGCCAGCAAACAAGGCCCCACTACATACTATCAATATGACAACATTTCTGCAAATATACATGGTTTAAAGCCCTCAAAAAACAACAGAATAACTTTGACAACGAAATATGGATCCCAGGATATAAGTT